TATTTCATCACATTTTTAAAATATGTGCATAAATAGGTTTTAGCAGTGTTGTATGGACTCTCTTTTATCTTTGGGCCATATATATTTTCTGGATTAAGCATGTGGTAACGCTTTCCCAGCATGTTTTAGAACTGTATGTTGATGAAATTGTTCTTTGTCTTTCAAGAATGATAAAAAAATTATAGGTAAGACTTAAAGTTGGCTACTGTCAGTCTTTTCTGATGCACCTTTCTGGGGGAACCTTGCAGCACCACCAGTAAGTTGCTAAATTGCAGCTTTCATTGGGGAACAGGGAAGGATAAACTGACTTTCTGCAAACTGTCAGCAAGATTACATTTGACTTTTGAAGTGTCATTCTTCTCAAACTCTGTGCGTGATCAGGGCTAATTTTTTTTTTAAAACTCAAATAGCCTAAAATGTGATTATTTTGAGGAAAGGGAGCCCCGAATCTTGCAGATTCTGAGCACTTCTGATGTGCCAAGATCTAAAGTACAAATTCTACATGTAAAGTTTTGGGAAACTCATTCATAGTGGTAACAAATGTTTGTTTGAAGACGTTTATGGGACAAGATGATAAAAATGTATAGTGGAGGTACTTTTCTCCATGACAGGAAGAAGTAACGGCAAGGAGGAACATCCAGTTTACCCCACTGAGTGCACTTAAAGCCTTTGCTGGAGGGGATCCTCCATGCATCCCATTTTGATGCCAGTGGCATCTCCAGAGCCTGGAGAGGGGTCCCAGGTCCCAGAAGAGCAGCTGGAACGGTAGAACATGGGAATTCAGCGGCCTCGTGGGGGTGGGAAGGGGAGGCCACTTAAATGTCTGTGCAGAGGAACATCCCCTGGGGAATGAACAAGAGGAGTGAGAGCCGTGCAGGGCTGTGATCTCATCAGCAACAGGGACAGGTGGTGGGATGGCTCCTGTGGCTGCAGGGCTGGAATGGAACACACAGGCTCTTCAGGAAGGACAGGCAGGAGAGAAGAAGAAGATCCCTTCCCCTGTGTCTGAGCAGCTGGAGTGCCTGGGGCTCCACCTGGGGATGGATGAGGAGCTGACTAAAGAGTTAGGGATTAAAGGGAGGGATAGGTGACATCAGCTATCAGGGAGAGGTGGGAATCTAGTACAGGCCACCTGACCAGGGAGACTGAGCCAACAAGGCCCTCTACAGACAAACAGGAACGTTGTCATGTTCACAAGCCCTGGTCCTTGCAGGGGACTTCAACCACCCTGACACTGGGGGGGCAACCCAGCAGGGCACAGGCAATCCGGGAGATTCCTGGAAGGTGTGGATGCCAACTTGCTTCTCCAAGTGATGGAGGAGCCAAGGAGGATGGGGACTATGCCACCTTATTACCTGTGAGGACAGGCCTGGGCTGCACTGACCATGAAACGGGGCAGTGTGAGATCCTTGGGGCAGTGAGGATGCCCTGGACTCAATGCCCTGGACTTCAGGGGAGCAGACTTTGGACTCCAGGGATCTGCTTGGTAGAGTCTGTAGGATAAAGCCCTGGAGGGAAGAGGAGTCCAGGGAAGCTGGTTGATACTCAAGGATCACCTCTTCCAAGCTCAGAAGTGATGCATCCCAACGAAGCAGAAGTCAGGCAGAAACACCAGGAGGCCTGCACGGATGAACAAGGAGCTCCTGGACCAACTCAAACACAAAAGGGAAGGATGCAGAAGGTGGAAGTGAGGACAATTAGCCCGGGAGGAGTACAGAGAGATAGTTCAACCAACCAGGAATCAGGTTAGGAAAGCTAAAGCCCTGGTGGGATTAAATCAAGGGCAGTAAGACAAGCTTCTATAGACACCTCACTGAGCAAATGAAGAGCAGGGAAACATGGTCCTCTCTGGAACAAACAAGAGGTGTGTTTTACTGGGACGTGGAACAGGCTGAGGTACTCACAGACTTTTGCTTTGGTCTCAACTGGCAAGTTCTCCAGCCACACCCCCCGACTCACAGAGGGCAGAGGCAGGGACTGTGGGAATGAAGAACCTCTCCTGCAGGAGAAAATCGAGACCATTCAAGGAACCTGAAGGTGCACAAGTCCACGAGGAGCTGTGGGTCCTGAAGGAACTGGCTGATCCCTATCCATCAGTTTGAAAGCTGTGGCAGTCCAGTGAAGTTTTCAGTGACTGGAAAATGGAAAACATAGCCCCCATTTTTTAAATGGGAAATAAGACCTGGGGAACTACACCTGCCTGACTGACTGTCTGGCAGTTCTCTGTCTGCTGTGATGTCACTCATGGGCCAACTGTGTCCAGTCCAATTGTTTCTGCTAACATGTGTGCCCTGTGCTTTGAAATGATACAGTTTCCCAAGGCTGAGTCCCAGGAAGCTGCCCTAAGAGATCTCTTCTCTACCATGGACAGCTTTGATGACATTTCAGGCTGCTGAATAAAGTCCTGCACTGCAAGGAAGCAAATGCCAGTTTTTAAAACAGACAAGCTTGAGTGGCTGGGAGGACTGGTCCCTCTGACAGCTGATCTGTCCAAATCAGAGTCACAAAAAAGGCTGGTACAAGATGCTCTTGTAAGAAGCAAAGCTCATACTAATGAGCAATCAGAGGGGTTCTGTGCTGAGTAGGCACAGCAAAACCAACCAGGCATTTGATTCTAAAGAGTAACTGCACAGGATCAATAAGGGACATCATAGCTGGCTGGCAGGTTTTAAGTAGAGGTGGGGATGAGAAATGCAGGGAGTATTTCTGGGAGGCATCAGTGAGCTTTACTTTAAAATGTCCTGTGTAAATTTTCTTGCCCTTCTTCAGCTTTGGTTTAGGTGGAGGAGACAGATAAATTAGTGTGCTCCAAATGGTTTCCTAGTACCTAATAAAGGCAAATCCTATTCTTTTCTAATGCATTTTTTTCTCTGCCTGCCTTCCCCCACATGCAGGTTACAGGCATCACACTGGGCACTGTTACTCATGATCCCTGTCCTTTAATCTTCTGCCTATCAGTGCTTTGCTTTCCACAGACACTTTCCCCCTGCTATTGGTAACTAACTGCATCGTGCTGCTGACTCTTCTTTGGTACTCTAGGCCACCTGGCACGCTCCTAACACTAATACTGGTAGTAATACCAGTACAGGATTTTGTTCCTTCTCATCCATTTTTACAGCAAATCTGCTTCTGTTAACCTTGAGTGAACTGGGCATTCTTTGCCCGTGAAAATTTGGGTATGGCTGAGAAGGCAGTTGGAGACTTGTTGGTATAGTCTGTCAAAGGCATCTGTTCAAGACTTTGCTCCAAGGTGCAGCACGGACCAGGACACTGGAGGTGCAAGGACATGTGCTGGGCTGCAGATGCTGTCCAGGGCAGCAGGATTTGCTCTTCACTGTGCCTTCATGGAGGCTGTGCAGCCACAGCCTGGAGGGCCACTGAGGATTTTGGAGTTTGGTCCTGGTTTTTTTTGTTTGTTTTTTTTTTTTTTTTTTTTTTGGTCCACACAGTAAACATCACAAGTCTCTCCACCAGACCTTATTTGAGTAACAAAAAGCAACATGATAACTCAACACGTTCCCCAAAAGCTGAAAAGTCTTAGTTTCCTCCTGCCCTGGGACATTCCAGCGCTGCCCTTTTGTTACCCAAACCTGCAGCCCTGAGCTGGACCACCCCTCACTGCCACCGTAAATACCAAATAGAATACAAAATCTGTAAAACCGGGGGTGATAGGGAAGAGATAAGCGAGTGTGGGCTGTTTCTTGGGAGGGGATGAGGGTGGCAAAGTAGAGTTTGGGAGTAGAAAGGGGGAATATCCAGGGAAACAAACGCTGGAGCAGTGGGTTGTTGTGGTGCTGAGCACACCCATGGCAGTCCGGCCCCGCCCTGAGAGGTGTAAAACGACAAAGTTAACCGAATTGTTGAGCCCCCAAATCCGCTGCAAAGGCAGGCAGTGGTTTATTTGGATCGGTCTCTTCCAGAGGGCTCCACAGGGGGGTTTCCATCGGGAATGGCCGGTGCTGCCGTGCCCGTGTCCTCAGTGCGGGAGCGCCGGGGGTCCCTCAGCTCGGGGCACTGCATGGTTATCGCGGCTGCGTTCAGTCAGCCCAGGGATAAACGCATCGGCCCAGGGGAATCTTTCATTTCAATCCCGCGACTTGCTCCTAAAAGAAATCAGCCGCTCTCAGGGTTCTTCTGTTCGCCTGAAGCTCAGTGCCCTCTCCGAGTCCGCTTTCCCTCGGCGGCACTATCAGTCACCGCCAGCAATTCGCTCCAGACGCGCCGGCGGACCGGGGGCTGTCGCTGTCGCTGTCGCTGCTCGGGAGGTTCGTGAGGGCCGGGCTGGCCCCGCCCCCGCCCCGCTCTGAGGGGCCGCCCCCGCCCCGCGCACGCGCCTCCGCGCGCTCCCAGGCCCTGCCCCCGGCGCCGCATCGCGGCGGCCATTTTGTGCGGCTGCGGTGGGTGCGCGGGCTCGGGCGCCGCGGGCCCGGGCGGGGCGGCTCCGTTCTAACCCTTTTTCCCGTACAGAGCCCTCGGTAAGAGCTGCGGCGGCGGCCGGGCGGCCGGGCCGCCTGCCCTGCCCTGCGCTGCGGGCCCGCGGTGCGGCGGGGGAGGCGCGGGAGGAGGCCGGGCGGGCGCGTCCCCGCGCACAAAGGGCCGGGCCGGGCCGGGCCGGGCGGCGCCTCCTCCGCCCGCGGGCCCGGGGCACCGAGCGGGGCCGCTCCCGCCTGGCCACGGCCCGGCTGAGGCCCTGCGGCCCGGGCCGGCCCCCGCCCGCCGCCCCTGGCCGTGCCCGCCGCGGCCGGCGGAGCTGCGCGGGCAGGTGAGTCCGTGCGGGCCGAGCGCGGGCCCGGGCGGCGGGGGCGGCCGAGTGACCTTGCGGCGGGGCCGGGGCCGGTGGGGCCGTGCCGGGGCCCGAGGCGGGCTCGGAGGGGCCCCGAGCGGCGGGAGCGGGAGGGGCGCGGGGCCCCGGCGGGGCCGGTCCCGGGGGCGCCTCGCCCGGCCCCGGGGGACGGGGCGAACACCGGGAAGAAGGTCCCCGGTGCCCGCGGCGCTGCCCCCGCCCGTCTGGGTTGCCCTGTAAGCGCCAGCGAAGTTGCCGCGCAGTAAAGGAGCGTTCTCCTCTGCTTCACTTCCTCTGCTAGTGAGAATCAGCTCTGTAAAATAAAAGCAGCGAACAGAAAAACAACAACCAAGCAACCAACAAAAGGAAAAAAAAAAGAAACCAATCCCAAAGGAAAAGCAACCCAAACCCGCCCTTCCCAAAAGAAAAGCCCAAAGTAGCGTTCAAGTGGGTCGCAGTATGAGTTTTCTTTCAAAAAAAAAAAGAGCCTCATGGCTCTGGTTTTACTCAAACTTACGTATTATTCTTAGTAATTTGCTTCCCCACCTTGGTCTGCTGGGGTTAGGCAGGACACTCGGCCGGTTGTTTCCTTGGTGGACTGCTGTTAAGGTGGTTTCCTCGGTGGTTTTGTGTGCGGTGTGTGCTGGTTCTTGTGCAGCTGACAGGGCGTTGTGGGGTGTCCACGCTGCGTGGGGCACCTTTGCACAGCCGGTGCTGGCCCAGGTAATGTGTTTGTGTGCATTCGCTTCACTGGGAAGGATGTTTTTACCTGCAGGAGCCATGGATGGTTGGCTTTAAAGTTGAGATATTTGAGACTTGCAAAGAAAAGGAGTTGGTGTTCGGTAGAGAGGTTAAACCCAGCGGAGTGGAGTTTTGCACCTTTTGGGAATGCTGCCTGGTCTTGTTCGTGTTGTCTTAGTCCATGCAAATCTTCAGCTTGTTTTCGGTGCTGTGAAGAGCAACATATGCAACAGGGTGGTTGCTGTACTGGAAATACATCCAATGATTTGGGTTTTTCTTCCAAATGGAAAGCTCCTTGTGCATGAGAGATTTATCTGCTTCTCGGAGCAGGTGTGTTTTTGCATGAAACTGTTTTTCAGGTGGTTACAGTTCTCTTTCTTTGTAAACTGCTGCTTGACACTGCTGTAGATGAAAGTGTATAGTTGAATCCTTCTAATATAGGATTGCATGTTTCTCTTAAAGGTCTAATAAAAAAAGAAGTCTTATTTTCCTAAATGCATTTGCCATTTTAATGTAAGTCTGTAGAGTGTAGTTGTATCTTTCTGACTCCTAAGTCTGTTGTTGATGTCCTGGAAGATGTGTGAATATCTGTATTTGTTTTTAATTCCCTTTGTTAGGGAGTTTGTGGAGGGTTTGTTAGTACTTCTTGCTCCAAGTTCGCTCTGGTAATGGTGCTTAACAACTGAAAGCAGCTTGTTTGGGCTGTGTGAGGAGGAGGCAGTTGTCTGTTCCCAGTGAGATTCGTTTCTGGACGGTTTTCCAAAGAATCACCATTTTAGTGTGAGGTGGCCTACCAAGCAGTGAAATAGCAAAGGTTTTCCATCCCATCTTTAAATACAAAATCCGTGTGTTGCCACTTAAAATGTTGGGCTTCTCTGTTGAGTTGTAATCCTGGTAAGATAATTTTTATCCAGGGATGAAAAAAAATGGGCATTTGGTCAGGATTTGGATAATGAAATGGCAGATTACAACTGAAAATACAGTATCTTGTGGGAGCTCTTCCTGTGTGCTCTGTGGAGGTGACTGCCTGGAGATGGCTGTGAAATGTCACTTGGTTTCATCAGCTTGTGTGACTCTTAAAGAATTCTTCACCTGCAACTCCAGGGAGGTTTCCTGAGGTACAGCTTATGTTGCTTTGTTTGAGTAAGAAGATGCACAGTTGGAGGAAGGAATATCATCAATGACGGGGAAAGGGTTTGTTAAAATTCAGGGGTTTCAAGTACTAATTCTCGTTCTTTGCCTTTGAAAGAGGGATTTGTTCGCCTGTTGGTCATGGGAAAATTGGAAAGAGTCTTTGAATGCTTTCTGGTTCTTTTTCATATTCTTTGTGGAAGACATACTTATGTCTTGAAACCGTTCAAAAGCTCTGCAGTGCAGTCGCCAACAAGTCCCGTAGGGAGAAGGTCTAGAAAATGCACCCTCGTGGTTCTGGTGTGCTGGAGTGCCTTGTGGTGGTCGCAGGTTTGAACTTTCTGTATATACAGTTCTTTGTGGACTGTTACTGCTGTTGTGTTGCCTGCATTGATTTTTGCCTCCATTTATTCTTTATTGCAGTCTAAAAGTTGGTTTTAATTGGTTGCCCACAGGATTGGCTTGGCTTCTGCTACTTGTTAAGAAAAAAACATCTGTCTTTGCAGGTAAGAGCCTTTGAATTGAAGACTTCTTTAAATGCATATTGAGTATATCCTAAGAAATACCTGAAGCTTTTGGAATCTGAATTTATATCAAAAGACTTGGGTCAGATAATCTGTAGCCTGTCTCTTTGCTTTGACTTACTCTTTGATGGTGGTTTTGGCAATGTTTTCCTTGTAAACAGAATTTTCCGCCAAACTAACGTTCTGTTGTTTCATCAGCACGTGGTAGTCTGGAACACTCTCCCAGTTATTTTGCACTGTTGGAAAATGCAGTTACTTTGCTTCAGGCCACAGGTCTGCACGTTTGTACCTATTGGAGTGTAGAAGTGAACATCAATTGGTTCTAATTAGGTTTTGCAGCATTTAAAGGGCTTGAATAGTTTCAAATTGGCTCAGAGATGACTGAATTAATCTTAACTGGTTGATTTGAGCCTTAAAAAGACAAAACTGAAGTCTGCAGTTTTAACTTCTGCTAGACAGTCTCCTACTTAAAATTCCTCCTCCAGTTACTGCAGTTCTTAGTCTTCATCCAAGAACTGCCAAATATGTTTGTGTGTATTTGTACCATGTGGGTATTGTACTTTAATACTCCCTGGGGACTGGGGTGAATCTTCTCAGCTTTTCCATTGAAAAATTCATGCATCTTAAAAGGCTGGTCTGGCATGCTTATGAATTTATGCATATGACCCAAATTCTTGTTACTTTACCGACTAGCACATGGATGGAAGAAGTAGTATTGTCACCTCTTACACTTTTTTCCCGGTGTAACATCACCATTTTTAAAGCTATCACTGTGAAGACATAAGCATGCTGTTAATGCTGCCCAGCTGAGCTGAGTCAGGTTGGCTGTCAGCAGCCTGTTCCTCTCCCTTTTTGATCTCACCCTGCTAACGGGGACGGGATGGCCATAGTGCACCTCTAGGATTTTGTGCTTCCACGGATATATGGAACACACAAACCCACACCAAAACCCACTTCTGCCTCCAAGTCCCTTTGTGCCCCAGGAGGAGAGCAGGCAGCCTGAGGACACCTCTGAGAGCCCCACAAAAAGCCTTCAGTGCCCGCTGGACGGGCGTGCGGCCCGGGCTGTGTCTGAAGTTGGTGTTGCCTCTGCAGGTGTCGGTCTTTGCAAGTGAGCAGTGCAGTATCTGAACAGGCTTTGCATTTTCGTGACTTGGAAAATTTGAGTGAGTGTGTTATTGCTTCCTAAGTGCATTTTGGAAAAAATCTGCTTGTGTTTAGAAATGTAAAACTTGGCCATTTTGGTCCTTGAGATTTTTTCTTTAGGTTACAGAAGCAACACTGCTACTCTGTTTAAGCACTGAAATCCTGAGAAGATCGAGGCAGTTACGTGTTGACAGAATATTCCTTTGCCAAAAATATTTGATGAGTCAAGTCCTTGAAATTCTTTTTATTCAGACCATGATACTGTCAGCTCTTGCTTAATAGCAAGCCTTTGCCTAGTGTTGTGCATGGAACTAACTGCACTGAAGTCATTGCAGCTAGTTTTTTTAGTGACCATCTGCCTAAAGCAGCTCTTTGGATTTTTTTTGTCAATAGTGATTTAGTGGACCTGAATAGAATACTTGGTAGCAAAACTTCAAGGACTCTCTTAGCATTTGCCATGAAGTTTTGAGTTGAGTGCAAAAATGAAACACTTGCATTATCCCAGACTGCTTGAACTCTTTTGTGACTATCTGGTAATTTGTCTTCTGGGCTGGGTTCCTGAAATCATTTGTAAGTGCAGTTAGCTAGCAGGTGTCAGTTCTGATAAAGAATGTAAGGTGTTCTAAACCAGCAGACCTGAGTCCACACACCTTCCCAGGCTGCCCTTGTTCAACCAACAGCTGTACCAGATGGTCCTCCCTTTTGCATTAGTAAGGAAATAGCTAAAAGTAGTTTCCCATTTAACCCAAGAAACTTCAAATGTCTTAACTACCAATGCATAAAAATTTCTGAAGCTAATTTCTATATATTACAGGTAATAGAAAAAAAATGAAGCCTCTTAGCAAGATTTGCTCTTGGTAGTATTTCAGTTTCAAAAGTGTCGGTGCAAAGCCAGGGATGCTTTCATGCTGCTTGCATGCCTCAGGATCATCTAATTCAGAAGCCATCCTGGAGCAAAACAAATAAAGCTTGGCCTTACCTTGCCCTTTGGTATGGCTTTTGTAAAGGAAGCAGAATTGTCATTTTAACTTCAGTTTCAGACATTGCCATCAATTGTGGCAAATTAAAAATAAAACTACAGAATTGTTGTAAAACACTGCTTTTTAAAACAGTGCAAAAAGCCTTAGGTGCTTTCCTAGATGTTTATGTAGCATAGGTAGTGCTTATTTTGACCTCTTGTGTTTTTGTTTCACACGGGTCAGCTATTTTGTCGTTGGAAAATGATTGGGCAATGAATCTTTTTTTCAAGTTAAAATGTAACTGCCACTATAACAGATAAAGGCAAGGATGTTGCTTCTGCTACCTGACCATGGAGATGGGCAAGTTGCTTTCAGAAGAATTAGCCCTGAGGCTTAGTGGATATTGCCCTTTCTGTTGCTCTCTGCCCTTGGGGGAATAGAGGTTTTCTTAGCAGTGGGTTTTTTGTTTCTTCAAATGTCTGTGTTGTGAGTTGCACTCTCTCTCTCAGGATGGTGCAGTAAGGAATTGGATGTTCATGCACAGTGGCCAGAGCAGCGGAGCTGACTTGGTGTGAACGGGCTTGTTTGCTGTTTCCTTGAGGGAGAAAGGTCCTTCACACCTCTCTGGTGTCAGCCAGTTGTGGGGCAATGCCCTGTAATACCCCAGAGTGTTGCTTGAATTCATTGGTGTGTTGAAGGGGTTAGCTCTGCTTTATTGGTCAGTAAAATACTTAAGGACCCAATTTAGTAATCTGAAGTTCCATCATGCAAACAAAAGAACTTCTTCTTGACCCTGTAGAAGAATTGTTACTCTTGTTTTCATTAAGTGCTGACTTCAGCCTTTACCTGGGTGAATTGTGGCTTTACTGAGTCATTCAAGACGTGGCTGCTCTAAAGCGATTGGAAAACCTGGGCAGGCAAACGGAGCTGGGCTGTGTGCTGGGATACGATCTCAGCTGAATGTGAGGGACTGGGGGATAGTTACTGACTGGAGTTGGTCAGAGCTTTGGCAATGGCCAGGAATCTTTGGCAAATGGCCACGTGGTGTGCAATTGGACATCTGGCTGGACTTGATCTTTAAAGGTCTTTTCCAACTTAAACAGTTGTGTGATTCTATGATCTGGTTCGTCCTTGATTTCAAGTGCTTAGTTAACACCATTTCTGTGTGACTAATGGGAGCCTTGGAAATCTTCCATAAGATACTGAGCCAGCTTGTACTTAGGAAGTCAAGAAGCTTCAGAGACGAAGTGGCTCAGGTGGAACAAGGTGCTGCTGCTGATGGTTTAGGCTGAGAGACTTCTGAACTGGTGAACTCTGCTAATATTAATATGATGCTTTCAGCATGTACTCAATGTTTGTCTAGAATAAGTGACAATTATTTAGTATCCTGTTTGTCTTCAACTTCTGCTATGACCTCAGACTTCTATAGAATTTGTACAAGGTAACTGTCCAGATCTTGCTGTTAAGCATTGATCTCAAGCTTCCACTAATGTCAGCTGCAGAGGTTAAAATCATTTTCCTGTGCCTGAGATGGAAGGTGTCATGTGCTAGACAGAATTCTATCTGCAACTACTGAAAAAATCAGACCTTGTTTTTGGAAGTTGTAAAGGCCAAATACCTAGTTAGGATATGTGTAGATGTTAATCTAATTTAGGTGAGGTGTGTGTAGTCACAAAATGACTGGGGCTAATTTATAACAGTTAGCAAGATACAGGTCCCCTGGACCCATTGCCTTTGCTAGGAATCAAATATCAGGTCAGTAGGATACGGTCAGGATGTCTTGTAATGCAAGTCTCCCTGTTGCTGGTTGTCCATGTTGGGGTTTTGTTCATAACCGACCTGATCTTACGTTTCTAGTTGTCTTCACCTGGCAGGAGATAAAATCCCTCCCCAAATGAAAGGGAACTGTTTCTTTCCCATAACTGTGCAGAATTTGTCAGTCACTTTGTCAGGTACAGTGGATACCATATCAGTATATAGCAAATTAATTTTGTTTGCTTGGCTAAAATACTCATTTTGCTTACATTCCGTTAAATATTGAACTACTGATATAATAGTTCTGATTTTTGATATTCCTTAGTTAGTTTGTTGTTTGTTTTTTTTTAACTGACACTTGTGGGTCTTAGTATAACAACTACTTTGGAACCTCTAGTGCAAAATGTATACTGATTGTGTTGGTAAATGTTTAATACTTCAGCCTGTATGAAGTAAGCAAACACGAATAAGAACGTTGGAATGTAAACATGCTTAATCTTTACAAGATGTTACGAGGTGTGTATAACCAAATGCAGTAGCGGGTGTGTGTAGGTGCTTGCATGGTGTCACGAACAGTAGTCTGACATGGCCGTTGCCTTTTCTCATCTGCAGGTGTGTGTGGTTTCAGCGCAGCATGGCTGTGGTCATCCGCTTGCAAGGTCTCCCGATTGTGGCGGGGACCATGGACATTCGCCACTTCTTCTCTGGATTGACCATTCCCGATGGGGGCGTGCATATTGTAGGGGGTGAACTGGGTGAGGCTTTCATCGTTTTTGCCACTGATGAAGATGCAAGGCTTGGTATGATGCGCACAGGTGGTACCATTAAAGGGTCAAAAGTAACGCTGCTGCTGAGCAGTAAAACGGAAATGCAGAACATGATAGAGCTCAGTCGTAGGCGTTTCGAAACTGCCAATCTAGATATGCCACCGGCGAACGCGAGCAGGTCGGGACCACCACCTAGTTCTGGAATGAGTGGCAGGGTTAACTTACCTACTACTGTACCTAACTTTAATAACCCTTCTCCTAGTGTGGTAACTGCTTCTACTACAGTGCATGAGAGCAATAAAAACATATCCACATTTTCTACTGCCAGTATGGGGACTGCACCTCCAAATCTTGG